CACCCGGGATAGATGAGATCGACTCGGCAGAAGGGGCAAGTGCCCTGATACTCGAACCACCCTTCAAGGCACTGCAAGCAAGCAGCATGACCACATGGCATTAGACTAAACGTACTTTCGTCAGGCGGCTCTGCGTCTGATTTGATCTGACAGCTCGCCTGATGGCATATCTGACACTTGAGTCCTATTGGTTGGTCAATGAGGAATGTAACTTTGGGGAATGGAAAAAAGGACTCTTGGGGGTCGTATCGTCGAAGCGGTTGGAACCATGATGAAAAGCGCGGCAGAGTCTTCGTCGTCTCCAGTGGTCTAGAGCCCAATGTTCCATTTGTGTTCTGGCGTTGGGGATCCGGGGAAGTTTTACTGGCTCGGGTTCTCAGATACCTCTTTTGAGGCTGTCGTTGGCGATTGGGATACATCGATCATGGAATCTCGCGTGCGTCTTGTCGATTGTGTTGTCGCGTATTCAGTTATGCTACTGTCGCTGTTGTGTCACGCTGTTGGTAAATACCCAGCGCTTAGTAACTAAATAGCTATTCCAGGCATAAAGACAAACTCGGATAACAAAGTAGGTACACGGCACTGTTCAATTCATTGACGACTAGGAACATCCAATATTCCCATCACCTTGGGTATTCGGTAGTGTACAGTTGTGTTCTTCAACGTTCTAGCCCATTGTTTATTGAACATTACGCGGCACTCTACTGTATTGTTCTCTTTGTTCTTTATTGTAGTGAGTAATACGATGTTCTAGATTCCATTGATGACATGCATGCCCTAGGGATGAACCGCTAAAACGCTCAAAGACACCATAGCCTCCGTGGCCTTGTTCAGGTACGATAGCCGGTGACAGCAGCTAGCGTGTGGCTTGATCCCTTGGCCACTTTATCTGTATGATCTTTTGGATACTGAATCGAAAGTCGCATGTCGTTCGTGTTTCACGTGAGAATGTTGGCCCCAGTCTACGCAAGGTCGAGACCCAGACCATATATCTTAGCTGTTTGCGGATCACAATATTGATTCTTCTAGATGTGGTAGGAGACTCGTGAGGCACGCTGCCAAACGATGTTTCTTCATCCTTAGGGCCCTTGATTTGCCATTGCAGCTCAGCCTCAGGCCGTAAAGTATGTATGTGGGGATACTGGGGAAATTTGATGACATACCGCAATAGCTCATTCTTTCCCATTACTGAAATTCCTGCATCAAACCTGGCTATTTGCTGATATTAACCCCAATATCGTTTGCGTCCGTAGGGATGACACATGTGTCACTCAACATCACGATCATGTTTAGGGCTCAATTTACTTTGCAGATCATAACGTCGATCTAGCAGCCCGTTCATTATTACATTGGGCCAAAGTTAAAGATGCGGCTCAGCCCCATCATCAAATTCCCGGGATCTAGACTGGCGTCGATGGATCCGTCCCTTTGCGTAGTACGTACGACGTACCTCCGAGCTAGTCATTCTCGGCCGAGGACGCCGAGTCCCCGACCACTCGTTTCGGGTTTACGGCCAGGTTTGGCCATAGCTTCCGAAAATGCCCAGCGACCGGAGAGGGTTATTTCTTTGTCGGTCCGCTGAACACTCGGACCCGGAATAGCTGTGGAGTACGGTTCTCAGCACCGGTATTCCGTGACCCCGGAAGTGCTATCGGGAGATGGGGCACGAGCTGAGTCAGTCAGTACACCAACCTGGAATATGTATAGAGTACATTACACCGTTGCTTGGTGAAAACAAGCTTCATGATATGGGAAAACGTTTAAGCCATGCAATGACCAGAGTTCATGACATAGTGCGTGCCTGCATTGTCAACCAACTAATGCACATTCCATCGTTTCACTAACGGACGTTGAAAAGTTACCAGAGTCATGAGAAGGCTGCAAGGCCTGCCCTGCAGGGCACATGTAGTTGTATACTCACTTACCTGGAGGTCGCTCTTTGTTCTTCGTTCAACCTTGATGCTGCACAGAGGGAGGTTTGCATCCCACGTATGAGCGTACTACGTCGCAACCGACATGCGTAGAGCGGTGAATGGAACCCATGTTACCTTTCGAGATCAGCAACAAGGATAGATACACCGGCTCAGCCGTTTGCAGCATTCATCTCGTTCTAGCTGATGGTCTCAGCTGTGCTCCACAGCCTTGTTTAATGGCATGTGTCTCACATCTCGTCCGAGACTGAAGAAACATTCTCTTGATACCATTGAACAAGTCTTGTCTTATCTTGCAACAGAGTTCTAGAACCTGAACCCTTGTCAACTCAAAGGATCGGGCATGTCGTAAGTCAACTTGGACGAACATACAGATTTCCAGCTGTTAGTTGGAGCTCTAGGGTAGCCCGTTATCCTTGAGCTTCTGGTTGCTGGGGTTGCACAAGTAAACAGGGCTCTCGATGGAACAAATAGGTACCCGACCTCAACGCACCAACCAGTGAATCCTTCGTGATGGAGAGCCCCTGCATCGCCTTGATCTCCCCTTGGTCACACCGTGATCTTCGCTACTCTGTTGGGCAATCAGAATAGAGTATCAACTGACCCTTGTCAGAAGTAACACGGAAAAATTGCCCTGATATTAGGGGCTGCTGGGCAACAGGCGACTCTTGGCTTGACGGTGAATCTTTTTAACATGCTTGCTTGTAGCGGTCAACTTCTCATGAACCGATAAACTCCAACTTACCAACTTGCCAACCTGCCTTACTTATTGATCCTCACGGGCTTATACTCTTGCACCAACGCGTCACGTAGTTTCACAGCACCGCTCTACCACCCACTGATAATGCCTTCGCTCAAGACGTTGTTCGCCTCAGCCGTTTTGGCGTACTTGGCCAGCGCGAAGACTATTAAGATCACAGCTACCAGCGACGACAAGTTCGACCCCGAAGAGGTTGAGGCTGAGAAGGGTGATGTCCTTGAGTTCCATTTCGAGCCCAAGAACCACAGCGTCGTTGCTGGCGATTACCGATACCCTTGCTCTCCTCTCGACATGGGCACTGGCTTCTTTTCCGGGTTCGTTCCCACTGACAACGGATCTGCCGTAAGTTGCGACTCCTCAGGCCTCTTTGCGATTTCTAACACGTCTCTAGGACAAGATTTTCAAGGTCACCGTCAATGACACTGACCCTACGCCTTTCTACTCCTCCCAGGGCAAAGAATGCGCCTCGGGTATGGTTGGTATCATCAACGCCGACTCCAACAAGACTCTCTCCGACTATAAGAAGCGTGCATCGGAGCTAAGTTCTGGGGTCAACCCAGGCAAGAAGCCATTTGGTGGCGAGTTGGTGGACGCTGGTGACGCCGACTCAGATAGCGACAGCAGCTCCGGAAAGTCCAAGGATGGTGGCAACGACGATAATGCTGCTGGTGTTCTTGGTGCTCCTCTCACTGGTCTGGTCGCCATCATTGGTCTTGCAGTTATTATGGCCTAGGCGGAGTGTTGGGACAGATGCGACATGATATTCACGAAATCGTCTGGGAACTGTGTTTAAAACAGCGGGAGTAATTTGAAGCTATTATTTACTGTAATACCTGTGAGCCTGAATACCGACCGAAACTTGTGTCCACCAGACAAGGATTGAATGAATCGATCACTGGTTCAGAGTACTTATTGGACTGATGCACAACCTCGAACCCGGTTACCCGCCAGATTCCAAATGTCTAATCTTATAATGACAACCACATGCAGGTTTTGGAGGGCAACTTGCCGTTACTATCAAGTCACTTACCTTGGTCGGAGAACCATCTCCGGGTCGTGCTCAAGGAGTTTAGAACCATCTCGTAACATCTAAGGGTTCGGACCTCCGTAATAGGATTTATAATTGCTGATGCTTTGCCTTCGGAGTTGAATCGGCATCTTGCCTGAAGACCCCGAGAGTAGAGTAACCGGGCCGGTCTTTGAAGAAATAATTATGCTCGAATATAGCTTTTGGAAACAGTTGACAAAGAGTTCAAAACGAGAGATGTGAGTTTGGAGTGCTGGGAATACATCATGTGAAATAGTGAGCAGCTGGTTGAAATACGAGTCGAGCATCTAGGGTAGACTGCTGGAAGTCATCAAGTAACCTGTGAGTGATTGGCAAGCTGACACAGGAGTGCTTGATTGAAAGGACATCCGGGAATATCGGCAGCCTTCGGGTCACCAGTACCGGGGACCAATTCTAAACCCGGCCCACACAATCGTCACTCGCATACCGGATTCGCAACTCCCCTCCATGAGTAACTCTCTCATGTTACAAACTTATTTCTGTATACTCACCAACGAACGATCGCGAACGAAAACGCCTCAATTCTTGCGAAATACATGCGATCAATATGCGCGGCGCGCTGAGGTGTAGAGCCACTGCTCGCCATCCTCGGTTGTTACGACTATCGGCGGATGGCGGTAGATTTGCGAGGGCGCTTCGGACGAGCGCAACATCACAGGGCTTGAGGACGGGCTTATATTGCCGACAAACACAACAAGCCCTTACGGTTCAAGGCGCAAACTTATCGACGTCATGTTTTAACCGATCGCGGTCGATGGCAACAGTAGTCGATGCTGAACCTATACACGGCGGAGGTCCAATTCCAGAATATGACAGAAGGGTACAGGCAGGCATACTGCGAAACGATGAACACCAAAGAGGTGAGAACGTCGGAATCTAGCCGGGAATGTAAGCCAGTACTGATAAGAGAGAAGGGATCATACAGAATTTCCAAAACTTATATCATGAGTTGGAGAAATATGATGCCCCGCCAGTCCAGCACCCCAGCATCGAATCCCTCAAGCCCACGAAGAAGTCAATATTCTCGTCGCTCTTCGGCGCAGGCGGCAGCAGGTCGGCTACTGGGGATATCCCTAACGATCTTCCGAGGGGCTTGTATCTCTATGGTGACGTGGGTTGTGGCAAGACCATGTTGATGGATCTGTTATACGAAACTCTGCCTCCATCTGTTAAGTCAAAAAGTCGAATTCATTTCAACAACTTCATGCAAGATGTACACAAGAGACTTCATAGATTCAAAATGGAGCACGGAAACGACATTGACGGAGTACCATATATCGCGGCCGACATTGCTCAACAGGCAAATGTGCTCTGTTTCGACGAGTTCCAGTGCACGGATGTAGCAGATGCAATGATTTTGAGACGGTGGGTGCACTTTATTACTTCAAATTCGCTCAATGCTGACCCTATACAGACTGCTTGAGTCTCTCATGGCAAACGGTGTAGTCCTGGTAACAACTTCCAACAGACACCCCGACGAGCTGTACAAGAATGGTGTCCAGCGGGAGTCATTCATCCCCGCCATCGAACTTCTCAAGAATCGTTTGCATGTCATAAATCTCGACTCGCCAACCGATTACCGAAAGATCCCTCGACCTCCATCTGGTGTGTACCACACTTCACTCGACAGCCATGCGCATGCACACGCAGAGAAATGGTTCCGGTTCCTCGGCGATCCTGAACAGCCTGAGCCTCGACCCGAGACGCAAAAGGTCTGGGGTCGTGAGATTTATGTTCCTCGAGTCAGCGGACGAGCGGCATGGTTCACCTTTGACGAATTGATCCGACAACCAAAATCCGCTGCTGATTTCATTGAGCTGGTTCGGGCTTATGAGGCATTCATTGTAACCGATATTCCCGCAATGACTCATCAGCAGCGAGATCTCGCGCGACGCTTCATCACATTCATCGATGTTGTGTATGAGGGCAACGCCAAGCTTGTCCTCACTACAGAAAAACCCCTTTCAGATCTTTTTGTTTCCCGAGATGAGATCGCCGAAAACCTCATGAAGCAGGGCGTGAAGCACGAGCACGCGGAGGATGCTGCTGCCAACCATGACCTGGTACACAGCGTTGACAAGCTCAAAGACTCAAATCTCTTTGCCAGTTCTGAAGAGGCATTCGCATTTGCTCGTGCGCTTAGTCGACTGCGGCATATGGAGAGCAAAGAATGGGTAGAAAGGGGAATGGGTCTTGAAGCTCAAGGCGGAAAGTTGGATAAGGATAACTGGACCAAGGCGAGAAGCCGTCAGATGCAAGATTCTATGTGAAGAGGAAGAGGCGAAGCTGGATCGTGGGAGAAGTATTATATACCCGGGGCATTGACTCAGCATAGCGAGCGTTTGCCTGCTCTTGTACTTATAACTGTATGATGACGCCTGTTGAACCGAGCAGTTTGGATTCACACATGAGCACATTTGCTTTCTATATATAGAGATATATGATGATGCCTGAATACAAAATTTCGCGGAAGGGGATGAGTGTTTTTATCGCTTCCTATGGTAACTCCCCATTTTAAACACCACGGTTTGAGAACTCATCGCCTGGAATGGGTAGAGTTCAAGAACATACTTATGATGCTCAACAGCGTATTCATGGGCGAATCGTAACTTGACTAAGGTAACTTGGAAATGTTTCGGTAACTCGCCTCATGAATTGGGGATACAGTTATCCATTACCGTACTCGGTGGTGTGAATCTACCTTACCTACCTTACCTTAAACAGAGGTGTTGAGGGGGCCACTTCGAGCTTCGACTGATAATTGCAAAGCTTCCCCTCCCATATATGTTACCACTCCTATAAAGAATGCATTCTTAATGGTCTGTAAAGAATTTCAGGCCCTTGTGATGTCAAAATGGTTGAAGGGACAAAGGGAATCACCCATTAACACTAAGACAAATTTAAAGCCACGCAGGAACGTCATGTCTCAGACATTGATGATCATAATCCCTGAAAATCAATTGTCTCTGACCAGCCACACTCACAATTTTGAGTAACGATAGAAGGGACGAAAGCAGGATATTCTGCGAAATTCCATTTTACCAGAGGTACAGAGTAGCCAGCGCTGTTAGCAGGTGATGAACACACCAAGGATCTCGAAACAGAGCCGAAATGACTTTTATGGCATCTACCTAGCCAGTATCTACTCTCTACGGAGCACTTATGAATTTGATTAGATACCCAGGAACCCAGTGAGGTATCGCAGGGAAAGCCTTGTCTCATTGACTGCGGAACACCGGCGCCTGTAGTTGAAGCTGGGGAAAAGCGTTAAAGTAAATCTAAACAACAGCTCATATCCACAACAACAATGGATCTAACATCGATATCATTTGTTTGTCACCCGAGACAGAGGGACCGAGGCTGAACATGAAACAGTGACGTTGTTACGATGTAACTAAAGATTAATTAAAATCCCTGTATTTAGAATTTGAGAATGCCCGTCTAGACCCTATTGTGAATCATTTCGTCGTTTTTATGCAAAGATGCTGCTGTGCAAGGCATATTTGTCAAACTTCGCTAATCATTTCGAGAATCGATTGCTGCACGAAATGCTTTCTCATCTCGGCATGACAAGGGCCATTTCCAGCGGATGGACGGATACATCAAAAGAGCACAGATCAGGTACAGACTCGTCTCCATCTGTCGTTTCAACCCACATATAAAGTCAATGCGTCAGTTAAAGCGGTCAAAGTGGCCCAAACAAAGGAGGAGTTTGTTTCTTCTGACGTCGTGGAAATGGGTCGTCGAATCAATGGAATTAGCATAAATGCTAGTGGGAGCTCTAGATTCGAGTTCCTGCAGAAGAAATTGAGCCACTCATTCAAATAGAGAACAAAAAAAGATATCACTGACTCTTATTATCGAATCAAAACAGTTGGTGTGATCATTTGTGTTGTCCAAGATGTAAACACATCCCTGTATGTGCAACTATGATGTACAGTATTTTCTGTTCTTCTACTCCGTCTCGCTGCAACAAACACAGTAACCAGCTAAAGCGCAGGAAGCCGATGACAGAATGGAAACGTTTACCGAAGGCAAGCTCGATAGACTAACATTCTTGAGTAAATCGGTCAATATTCGTTATTAGATCCATCATCCATGGAAAAGGAGAGTGTGAGTGGGTGTGGGATAATTTTAATGAAATCGGGGCTATTCTCTAATTTGGGTTGGAAGACGTTAGAGCTGGGAGCTGTAGCAGCCACGCTGCACAGGGGTCGATTGGATAAGCCATTACGGATTGGCCGGCGCCTCAACGGTTCCTGGCTAAACAGATTCAGCGGGTCTGTGCTAACCAATCATACGACTTGTGTACCTGACTCCTGGCGTCAGTGGCTCAAGCCACCCCTGATGTTTAACCCCCGGCCAACGCGCTACCCCTGGCTATTGTGAACCTCCCCAGTCTTCACAACTCAGCAAGGATCAGCCTTGAAGACTCCCACCTCGGTTCTTCTCCTCTCGGCAAATCATAAATCACTCGAATTCCTTGGCCGCATGCTTCTCTGCTGATCATCATTAATGCACGGCGCCTCATGAATAAAATGAGTGGGAATCAGGACCCTGTCTCATTCGTTAGTGGGCCTGATAGTAGTCATTGTCGCGATGGTCATGGTGATACGGGTGACACGACTGAGATGGCTGCACAAGTGGCAGGTTAAATTTGGAATACGATATGCCTAATCTAGTGTCGTGTGATGTACTGTACCATCCTATGCATCTTAGGATGTAGCTTTATGCAGACTCAACTGTGCATTTTCGTATGGCGTATGTTTGTTCAACAACTCAGAGCTGGAGGTAATTGGCATTCTACCGAGGACGGAGGACAATCTCAACTGTACTCCGTACCATCTTGTACTGTAAAGCCGGTCAAAGATGAAACTTGAATAAAATTGGCCCATCTGGAGACTGGACATGGCACGGAGAATACCTCAGAGTACATGGCCAGAGCCCTGTCACTGCCAGGTTCAGCTCTGCTCCCCGCTAGGATTACTTTTTAGCTTGGGGGCTCGGTTGGCCCTATCAAACATTAGTAGGTCCTGGAATTCAATGGGAAGTCCGGGGACCTTGCTCGGTAACCTTGTATTTGGCAAGTGTCTCCACTGAGCTGCTCCTGGTCCTTCCATATCTCCTCACCTCACAACCATATCCTCGTCCAGGGCCTCTTCCGCCCACTGTCTTTTCTTCTCTCCACCATCCATTCTTTTACACTCTTTCAACCTCGAAATCGTTCAGTCGTTTTCAGAACTGTTCCCTTGCACGGTCGCCTTGCTTTGGCTATCACCGTGTTGAGTTCAGTTTGTCCATTCGTTTCAACCCCTGGCGCGTTTTTGCAAGACTGCTGCCGTGCGCTGTTCGTTTATCAGAGCGATATTCATATCCGCCGCTTCCTTTCAACATTTAACTCTGGTTTGGCAGCTGGTCCAACAACATCCATATATCACGTTGTAACTAGCAGTTGAACTTGCGAATTCACATCGCCCTCGTTACCGACGCACCCCCCCACCGTTCTTGTCTGAGACATCGCCGTATACGGACATCAGTCTCGAGACCCCTAAGGGACACATTCTTTATTCCCGCCCTCTATTGCAACGCCCTTCATTCCAGTCGACTTGACAACCAGCCCCGCCAATTTCGTCTTGAACGACGATATATTCCACCAAAACGACGGACTTAGAATTGTGATCCTCGCGCGATCTCCTCTTTTGAATTTGTTGCCGTTGTATCTAAATTTCCGAAACTCCAGCAAACATGCATCTCCGGCATCTGCAAGTACACCGCAGGGCCGACGGGCTTTTTGGGTTTGGTAACATCGCTCATGAGATCGACGTCTCATCCGATGGCTCAAACCGTCATGTACACAAGAGGCAACCACGTAAGTTTTGGAATTATTCGAGTACACCAAATTGTCTTCACCAATTGCGATTTTGGGTTTGACCAGTGAATTGTGTACCAACTAATATTATCGTAGAAGAAATAAGGACTGTCTTCAAGACCATGGAAGCTACTTTCGAAGGGAAGATTGGTGGCTACAAAACAGTAGGCCACGAGCCTAAACCAACGGGCTCCTCAAAGGACGATGACGAGGATGACGACGACCAGAGTGACTCAAAGAAGGAGGCCGAAGAAAAGAAGAAGGAAGAGGCTGAAGAGAAAAAGAAGGAAGCTGAAGAAGCTAAGGAAAAGGCAAAAGAACAGGCAGAGAAGGAGGAAGAAGCAGCGAAGAAAAAGGCTGCCGAAGACAAGGCCAAACAAGAGAAGGCGGAGGAAGAGAAGGAAAAGGCACAAGAGGCTGCCAAGAAGAAGGCTGCTGAGGATGCCAAGTCTCGCAGCAAATCCGAGGATGACGATGCGAAGGAGAGCTCGACAGCTAAACCGACCAGAACTCGCGCCCAAATTACCACTAGTAACGACCCATCGAGCGTCCCCTCCGTTATTAGCGATCCCACTGGCAGTCAATCTATCGAATCTATTCTCGCCAAAGCCACTGGCTCAGCTTCTGCTTCCACAACTATCGATGAGGTTGCCGACATGTCTGGAGCCTCGAGTCTCCCTAGCTCAAGCTCCAGTGCTGTGCCAGAAGCTAGTGGTGGCACCAGTGCAGGAACCAAGGCTGGAATCGCGTTTGGTGTCCTTGGCGGATTACTCGCCATGGGCTTGCTTGTCTACTTTATCTTCACTAAACGCCGAAAGCAGGCTGAGATGGAAAGACTCGAGAATGATGATGAGAAGCTTCATGGGCCGATGGCTGGTAACGGTGGCCCTCCAATGGTTGCCGCAGCTGCTGTCCGTCGTTCTATGTCTCCCGAGCCCGTTGAAACTGCCTCTATCCGCACTGATACAAAGGCTCCTCGCGTTAGTCTCCGACCTGTCACCCAATTCCTTCCCAACTGGAACGGCCTTGAAAAGGAGAAGCGCGCAAGCAAAGGTGCAGGTTTAACTCTCGCTGTACCAGCTGCCGCTTCTTCACCCGCTACTGGTCCCTTGTCCCCTCGAGCTGTTGGAGGCAGTGCCTGGGAGCGCCCGACAACAGCTCAAAGCGTCGATCCAGCTAACCCCTTCGGCACTCAGGCCGAGCGTGTTCCATCTCCCGTTCAGGAAGAGACTGCTTCTGCGATGAGGGCTTCTCCCAGCCCCATGTCGGAAAAGTCGACCATTGCTGTTGCTGCTGCCGCCGCCCTCCCTGCCGCCACCGCCCCAGTCTCACCTCAATCACCTTCGTCTTCCCAGGGACCCGCCTCCGCCAATGGACCTGCAGTTGCCGCTATGGTCGCTCGTAAGACTTCGATTCGCAAGGCTGGAGGCCCTCAGCAACTTGACCTGACCCTTCCGAATGCCCCTATGGCAGCTGTACCCGCTAGTCCTGCTGGTACTGAGTACAGTGGCTCTTCCGCTCCTTCTGGAGGTCTTGACAGTCCTTCTGCAGGCGCTGCGGCTATTGCTGCTGCTGGCGGACCCGCAAACTCGGCCGTTCACCGCGTGCAGCTTGACTTCAAGCCCACTATGGACGATGAATTGGAACTTAGAGCTGGTGACCTCGTACGACTCCTTCATGAGTACGATGATGGCTGGGTAAGTTTATACAATTCAATTCACGCCTCAGCCCAATCTAACCTGTCTCTAGGCTCTCTGCATCAGACTTGACCGTTCTCGACAGGGTGTTGTTCCTCGAACCTGTTTGTCAACTCGTCCCGTGAAGCCCCGCCCTGCTCAAGGCGGCCCTCGCCCAAGCCCTCCTGTTAAGGCTGGCGGGCCTCCCCGAGGACCCGGACCTAATCAGCCTCACGGACAACGACCTATGACCCCCCAAGGAAACTTTGGTCAAGCTCGACCTGCCTCACCTGCTGGTCCTAATCCTAGCGGCAGTCGCCCCCAATCACCGATGGGACCTCCCGGCCGGCCTCAAGGACGTCCAATGAGCCCAGGACCTCGAGCACAGTCACCCGGTCCTCGTAATGGACCGCCCAGTGGCAGACCCATGAGTCCTGGACCTCGTTCTCAGTCACCTGGGCCTGCAGGTGGCCGTTCACAGAGCCCGAGCGGGATGAACAGAAGAAATAACCCTCCTGGACCCAGTCCCATGAATCCTTCTCAAGATCCTCGCTCGGGGCCATCTTCTTCGGGCTCTCTTAACAGGAAACCCGTACCTGGCCAGGCGTATTGAGCGGCTTACAACCGTTGATTGCCCTGTATGAAACAGTATTAAAAGGAACGGCGTTCTGCGGCATCATGGAGAGACCCTGAGCATTATGGTCTGCTCACGCTTTTTTACTCTTCTGGTGGATGATTTAAATTACTTTCGAACTTCTTGTCACTCACTCGACCAATTATTTTCTTTTTATGTGGCTACTTTCGAGCTACTTTTTTTTTTCTCGTTTCACGTTTATATAAACTTCATATATCTCGGGCGGTCGTTAACCCGTCATTGTGGCATGGCATGCCATTTACGCTCATGTCAGGGTGACTTTGCGAGTGGCTATCTCAGTCATTTAGTTTGAAGGGAGACGTGTATACAGGTTACGACGTCTTGCTGCGAAATCTTCTCCTCTGATGGAAGGAGCTGCGCTAGTCGCTAATGTGTATCTACGTTTGCGTTTGTTCTTTTCGAATATTACTTCCTCTGTGGCTAGTTTAAGGTCCTTGGATGGAGAAAAGAAAGGGAGCTTGCTTGGTAGCATATCGCAACCAGCAGCTAGGAATTAAAGACTTGAGACGAAAGATAAGGAAATGAAATCATTCCTCGATGACTTACTTCCATTAGTCCCGTGTACCTGTCCATGCTCTATCTGTGTCTATTGTGTGACGTCTTTCGTCTTAGCATTTGCATCTCTTACGGAGTATATAGCATTTGTTGAATAGTCATTATTTTACTAACTTAGGCTTATCTATCGCATTGTTTGCAAGACAGTAAATCCCGTACCTGAACGAATTTGACTGTCACAAACCAACGATGTTGTTTCCCCATTCTTTCCTTTCTTGTAGAGGGATAAAAAAGCAAAGCCAAGTAGTCCGGAATATCATTTTCAAACCATGAACGCCCTGACGTGTCTAATCCTAACGCCTCGCTTCCATCTCAGTCCAGTGCCGCAGATAGGCCTTCTCCAGTTTACAAACGCATGGCCACACGAGAGACCAATGCTACAGGAAAGTCACCTCCCTTGCGCAGTAGCTCTTTGACTTCTGGGGTATCCCGAATGTACTCAATGAAGCACACAAAGTACTCCACAATGATCTCTCGTGCAATATCATCCTCTACAGTATTTTCGAACAGTTCCTGCGCGAGGGCCACGATGTCGGGAACGTTGTATTGGTCGAAGTAAAAGTAGTAGAGTATACAATGGAGGCGGCAAATGGAGAGACGGCGGAGATCTTCAACACCATACTTGTCTGCCAGGATGTAGAGTCGTGCGTGACTGAGGAAGACAGGTAGATATGAGTATTTGCCTTGTTGTGTGCTCTGCAAACTAGTTACCGCTGGAGCGCCGCCGTGAATCATGGATGAGTTGTAAGGAGGACGCGCAAAATTCCTCATCGCTTCAAACCGCTTTCCTATTGGGGTTGTTACGTCAAGCATATAACTTTGATCCGGACACCTGCGTTTGCGTCTTGACAGCCCACCGTCTTCAGCCAATTGTGGAACGCCATTTTGTTGATCGTTGTTTGACTGATAACTCTGTATAAACTCGCCAACGGCCGCTGGCAGCTTCCACTCGCAATATTCGTAGGTGTAGGTATAAGTGAACGGTGGTCGGTTACCGCCATTGCGTGCTGGCATGTGGTCTACAGTGGTGGAAGCCTCAGATGAACTTGCTCTGTCACCTGCAGGGCTGTGGTATCCTGCTGGAGTGCCTTCGGAAGAGTCGTCATCGTCGTCAAGATCCTCGTCTTCATCAAAATCATTGTCGTCACGCATTTCCTCCGAATTCGAGCGGGTGCTGCGAGAGTCATCTGAGTCCTGCCCAGACGAGGAGGTATAGTCATTGCCATCACGAGTATATGATTTGATTGGTGAGTGGTTGCCTTCAGTGTCAAGTTCTGGTTCCCGGATAAGAACAGGTTGTGCCTCACTGTAGTCACCAGAGTAAGCAAATTTGGCGAAGCGCACAAAAGTGTCGACATCTAGGTCTGCCCATACGACGCGACCTTCTCGGGCTTCTCGCATGTTCCCGTTTACTAGAGCGTTTAGGACTGGCGACAGTCGGCCGATGAGTTCTTTGTGTACATGGAACTCCTTGGCTTCTGGGCCAACAACGAAGAGAAAGGGCTTGGAAGCGAGAGATCTGATGCCGGAGTCAGCAGGTTTGGGAAGATTGGATAAAAACATGAAAGAATCGCTTTGAAAGTCAACAGAAATAGATGCTAATACTCACTCTTCGAAGTTGGCACTGACTGCTGGAACGGCAGCACCAGATCGCGAAGCAGACATGGTGGGTGTAAGTGAGAGCCTTTTTAGCCGCCAGCTGTGGCTACTAGAAGCAGGGGTGAAAAGGTAGAAATTGTGAGAAAATAAGACGAGACAGGAAGTATTTACGCGGAAGTCTCTAAAGTGAGTTGAATGTGAGAGAAGAGAAGATGACAATAACGGAATGGAAGGCTGTCGGGTTGGAAGTACATGTATGAGGTGCCCTGGACTGTAGCTCCAGCTGGGGTGCCTGTCACTGCGAAGAGATCCGTCCGTTTGATACGGTGCAGTAATGGAGCACTAGCGCTTGAGGGAAGTGACCTGAATCACAGAACCAGGGTCCTTACACACTAACTTCAAGGTAATGCGGGGCAGACGATAATGATTGGCTCCCTTGCCGCGCAATGTCTCACAGATGGGTTTTGCTCGCCTACCTTACTCCGTATTGTGTTAATAAAAGTATTGATTGAATAATGAAGAAGTTGCTGTGTTTCTATCCCTACCTAGGTATGCATATGCAGCCTTGGTTTTGCCTTTTCATTTAAAAACCACTTGGGATTGAACCTCATCTCCCAACTCTTGGGGTAGCCATTTCTCGACGTACCTGTATGGTGGGTATATAAGAGGAACCCTCTAAAAGAAAAGAGACAGGACATATCGCTCCTCTGCCGCTAAATCGTTTTGTTAGTTTGCACTCCAGGCGCCAAACTTAGGCATTCATGCGACGAACTTTCCCCCGCATCCACCACAAACCTCCCCTGATGCCTGTACATTTGCACCTGGTCCAAAATGCATCTCGACAACACGCTTCAACTCTGCCACTTTCAGACATCGCAACTCGCACACTGCACAGATCCGAGAAATATCAGGAGCCATTATCGCCAGTCCCGTAGAAGCACAGCGCGCTATTCAAATATGTCAACAAGAACGGTCCTAGGGAGGCTGCGTAGACAACTTACCAAACAAATGCCCGTTTTCACATTTTGCCTCTTCCTCTTCCAATCGTAATGCCGCATCACAAAACACGCAGTGTTGACTAGCAGCAACATCTCTAAACTGCTCTCTCAATAGGGAATTGTTAAGCTCAGGAGATATCTTGCGGGTTGCTGTGGTCCCAAGCACTTCAGGGGCACTCCCGTACATCCACTCCCAAACCTGACCTTCAGTAGTTAAAGGCTTCGATAGTGTGACTGCATCATTCTCGCCACGCTCTTCGTCTCTTCTTGAGAACATTAGTTTACAGAGTGCTCGTCTTTCTGGGTGCAAAGTGCTGTATTGTGATACAAGCACTGCTGTTGTGCCACCGCCGGGTGACTGCACCATACCCCAGATGCGGTACCTCGATTCGGGAACTTGTAATTGTGTCGTATCTTCGTCCATTAGGTCGTCTTCTGAATCATCCGAATCCGAGTCTAAACCTTCCAGCGCAACCGCTCTTGCAACGAGCCGTGTTGTCTGCTTCCGAATTCTTGTTGCCCATTTCGGTACAGAGGCTTCTGAGTCTGGAAGGTTTGTTTGAAACCAGTCTTGGTTGCGTGATGTTGCAGATAATCTGGCGATTGAGTAGTACGGGACCGATCCTGTGTTTGTTATGCCTTGATCGTGAATTAGAAGTCCTAAGCTGCTGTTAGATGGGTTTTGTGCAAAGCCTGTGAAAATGGTGTACCAGAAACAGGATTCGATGAGACTATTTCATCTTCCTTGGAATACGTTGTCGAACACTCCCAAGTATAGTGAGCGCCAGCCAACTCCTCAGCATCGCCAACAAACGAAACCTGAAACGGCTTCACATTGAACGGATCAGCGACCACGCCCCTGACTACGGGCTTACCATCGTCATATACGATCTCGGGCTACGTTAGCTACGGCTATTCCACGTGCCACGAACCACGTACCAGATCTTCCCACTCGATATATGCATCCGTTGATAGAAACATGCAAATGGCTGCCATATCCGCCTTCTCGACTTCGATGTGTGGAGGGTGGCCCCTCTCCCAATTGCCGAGGATAGTGATCTTTCGGAACCCGACATGATTCTTTGCCAAATATGCTAGTATAGCAACTCTTTTGCCTTGGTCATTGTACCAAGGGCTCCATTTCAAGGAAAAGGCACTCCCATGGGGCACGTAATCGGGATCTGTGATATCCACAGCCTATTTCATCATATTAGAGCCTTCCCCGATTAAGTTCAACATGACTCACGTCTTCCTTAATATGTCTCCCTCTACCATCAAACCGGCCAACTTCTTGGATCTCCCATCGCGTCTCTTCACTAGAGGGGTCACCTTTTGCCTGTGAGAAGAGCTGGACCGCCATTACAGCAACTTCTTCGACATCATTGCAGTATGCCAGAAGGCCTCTCCCTGTAGCCACTTCTTTGGCCCACGAGAAGGCCTGGATGCGTTCATTCATATTTCGGTATCCATCTTCCTCGTTGCTGTCGGGCAGCGGAAGTTGGGCCCCGAGACCCCAGAGTGTCTTCCATGCCTTGAAGCTTCGAACCCGCATGCCTGATATCATTGCAGACTGTCGATCGATGTGCTCACCAATCGCGTATATACATCCACTGGTCGAAAGTGCTGTTAAGATAGGTCGAAGATTACAACCCAATCCATTTGGTGACCATTCTAATCTCACAATCTGGCATATTGGTGCCCCCGAACCTGTCACTAATCCATTGCCCACACCAGGAAACCAATTCTCGTCGTTGGCTGGCGGTCCAGCCACTCTGATACCGGAAAACGAACAAAGTTGTGCATTGATTGAGGGATCTGGACGAATCAAGCCTGAGGCCCGATATGAGAGCGTGTACTGGCTCTGTAATTCTTCTTCGTCCGCTCCTTCATCAGGACCACCACTCCTCGGATACTCTGGAAGGAATATGTAGATAGTATCATCTGTAGCAACTGCAAGCTCTGCATCACAAGACCATGCCAGAGCATGAGTTGTCAGCGGACGCGACTTGAGATGAATTGTTTTGAGGGGTCTTGTCTTGTTTTTAGACTAGTTAGTGAGGCTTCTATGATGAATTCTATCAATAGGGGAGATATAAAAATGACTGCAGCTGTACCAGTATTTCTCGCCCGAGCAGTCAAGCGAATCTTTTGTTGTTCAGGGCTCACCTTAGACTTTTCCATTGTGGCAGCCGAGACAGATCGTGTCAAAGGACGGACGCAAGTTGCATGAAAATATCAAATCTCATATGATAATCATGTAAGAAGGAAATTTGGTATTTCAATTCGACAGTGGCATGGCAGAACTGAGAGTTTGATGAGATATTCGCATGAAATGATTGATACTAAAAAAAAAGCTGACTAAGAAGCAATACGCATCCCATGTCTACCTACCCAAAGGTAGGTACACCATGAAAGAAAAACAAGCAAGATCATTTATGCTGCCAAATTTTGAACTCCCGATGCTCAAAGCAGTCTATCAGTATTATGATTCATAGAGTATCAAAAGCCACAGGCCATTGACGCATATTTGAGATTGCATCAGACTAATCAAGCCAACACATACCCTGTGTAAAACCGGTTGCCTGTGGCCATATCTGTAGATTGCTCGACTAATCACTGGGTGGTATGGCAACAAAAAAACATCAATCCCATCAAGTACGCCGTTCTCCATATTCTTGGTATGCCATAAATGTATAAAATTAACAATATTTGTGATTGTTGACCTCAACCCTCTAAGAGAGACCCCAGACCCCAGAGAAGGCCACAACCCGCAAGCGCTGTCGCACCAACGACCTTCTTGGTCCACCAGTTGTCATCCGTCAATGCCTTGGCTTTTTGGATCTTCCTGGCTGTCTCAGTTGGAGCACTAGCAGGTGCCTTTGCAGATACCTTCTCGCCAACAGACTCCTTGGCTGCCTCTGCTTCCTTCTGTTGCAGAAGGGCGATTTTCTTGCTGAGCGCCAGGAGATCCTCCTCAAGAGTTAGGTTGCCGCTGCGGTCAACCTCAACGTTCTGGATGTTGCCGAAGAAGTCTGTGATCAGACGGCTACGGGCGTTCTCTTCACCGCCTGGGAAGAGGTCGTAGCGCACTCCAGCATGTGAGTGGATCTTGCCAAAGTCGTAGCTGTCGAACAGCTCGCCCACTGTTTTCTGGCTGTTCAGGTCCTTGACGTTGTTCTCGAGGAATTCAAGGTTGTAGTACGTGTATCGATCGATAACGGCGACGCCTACGTCGTTGTCGGCGTGATGCGAGTATGAGGACTGATCGAGCTTGGAGGAACCGGTAGCGATGATGTTAGGGGAGTAAAGTCTGCTGTACATAGTGTTTGCTTGGCAGGTGTCGATCATGAAGAGGATCTCGTGATATCTGAACACCGTTAGTGGTTGACAGGAAAGCAATGAAGCTACCACCTACCTCTTCTTCTCCCACATCTCCTCAAAGGCGTTGGCGAGATCAAATGCGCCGATCTCCTCAGCATCCTGGAACTTGAGGAACTCGTTTCCACCGTGGCCAGTCATGTAAACCAAGATATTGCTTCGATCGTCGGTAAGAAGACGCTTGCTTCGCGGCATCTCCGCGCCGACGCGATCCGTCAACAGGCGAATAAAGTTCTCGACAGTAACCTCGTAGCCACGATAGTCCACCTCGATGTTGTCGCCGTAGAGATCGACAGCGCGATCAGAATTGCTGTAGACGGTTCCAGGGAACGCGTTCCGGGGATTGCAGGCCATGTCGTCGGGAAGCATGAGGATGATCTGGGAGTCAGGGATACCCAAGCGCTTGACGGTACGGTACATAGAGAGGACATTGGCGAGATGGCGGTAGTTGAACCAGAATCGTGATGTGCAGACGAGAACGGCCCAATTACTGGTATGCTCGGCAAAAGCGATTGTTGCGAACATGGCTGCTGCCACGATGGCATGAAATCGAAGTATCGAGAGCTTCATGGCGGGGGATGCGATGTGAAGCGAACTGGTTGACAAGGGAGCGCGGTAGAGTAAGGAGCGAAGCTTAGAAGACAGATGCAGCAGCAAATGGCATATCCGCTGGCTGTATCTCAATGAAAACGAGGTTGCCAAGAAATGCTCCCTCAGACTTACAAATCTATACAGCGGCGATAATCATGAAATCCATCCAATGGATATCCCTTTTTGGATCAACGTCACCAAGGAGGGAACACCTAACATCAACGTTGATTGATTACTGTTCAACACATAATCGGAGTCTTACCAGATCTGGACCCGGAGTTTTCGGCGTGGAGGATCCGATAAGACGGCCCCTGGCGCTTGTACTGATTCGAAACACTAACAAATTCCCACAGCATGTCACCAATCTGAACAAGGCAAGGTAAGCCAGCTTCACCTTTCAGTTGTTACTGTGTACATCTTGACAAAAAAGAAAAAGATCTTGGGGTGAGCTGGCAAAGATGTGGATTTTCTCTCCTGTTTCTTAACCAGGATTGAGAAGTAGTTGGGGTTGGATCTGTTGGCGTCGTGTTTGTTTGATGAGGGTATCTGATATGGTTCGACTACAAGTGAGATATGCTCTGATGTTGGAAATGACTGTGCCATGGGTGTTGTTTTAGGGAACATTGAGTCTGAGAATGGGATCAGATACATGTGGCTCGGCATGATTTGAGATGAACATGGTTAGGGAGTGTACAAGAAAAACACAACGAGGGTATAGTATCCATGGGATTTCATTGTTGGTTATACGCCAACCTCGAAATTTCAGTCTCGAGAATGATACCTGACACGATTAACTGTCAGTTTGGTTGAAAAACCGTGTTCTACGGACTACCGTATCGTCTTGCGGGCTCGAGGTTCTGAGCTAGAGCACAAGAGTACTGTAGTTGAGCGAAGGCAGGCAGGGCGGATGGGTTGTGTCGTTCACGATGCTGACTCTGCTGTATTATGGAGAAGATACACCAAGAGCATTCTATCTCACTTAGTTGGCCAGACTCAAGATACATACATATTTAGCCTGGTCAGCACTTATGCGAAAACTTTTTTTATTTTTTTCAAGATTCAGGCAATCTTTATCTTAGCCTGAATCAAATGCTTCAGTCTGATGCGGATATACCAGCCAGGACCCATAAACCCCTCTTCTTGTGCTTTCATGGTCATGATGGGAATCGAATTTTCAACACGATAACGAGAAAACACAATCTGTAATTAGTAAGTCACTTACAGTAGCGTCTCGTAGCTGCATGGAAGAGCGAACATGAAAAATGGAGGACCCTGCAGAGACTCCACCATGACGATGTGATAGACCATGGATGGAACTGTGAGACGGGGGTTGTAACGACTAAGTTAGGACGTTCAAGTTGTTCGCTGGACAAGCTGCGACTAAAGAAGCAGAAAAGGTCACCTTGGCAGAGATGCCGAACAAAGCCGTTGGCGCATACCGAGAAAGGTGAACGACCTTGTGCATGACGACCCCATAAAATTAAGCCATGTATCTACCGTCAGGTGGGATGAAGAGAAAATACAGAAGGCTTCTAGTGAGCCGCAAGTGACGAATGAGGGCCGGCACCGGAGTTAGAAAGGTACGATCACATGAATATTTCTGGTGTGAAATCCTCCAAATCGTCGAGTCGTGTTTTGAATGGCGTAGGTGATCCACTTGGAATATGCCTTCTTTATAACCGCTACCTTAGACCAGGTTATGCCATGCATGGACAGGGCATGGATCCGGGACCTGTACTGTATGAGATGGTACTGTACTTCCAGTGCAGGCAGACCAAGCTACCTTAGGCCAAGGTTGGACCGGCTTAATTAAGGTAAACTCGGTGGTTGTGAGTCTTGGCCGAGGTTGAGCAATAATATCGTGCATAGAGCCACGGGGTCAGTCCAGAAGCTCTGAGGTCGAGAATCAAAGACATCCATCCAATGACGAGAGGTTCCGTGACTACATGCCGGAAACATCAGCTTGAAATGATGGAGCGCGTGGTAAAAAGCCTCAAACATCACCTGTTAACGAGAGAAGCTGGGGGAAGGAAACCTGGGGTCGAGGAGAATCACGATAGAATGATGTATTATCATGACCATGACAGTCCAAAAAGAACAGTCTAACCCCCAACATCTCCTCAGGAGAACCCCCAAACTTGGTTATGTGCGGTGATGAGCATCGTTTTCAATATTCATTGTGACAATGCTGATCAATGCCAATTATCGTTTGGTTTCAGTCCTTTTTGACAGAACTCTCCGATCATGGCTGGGCACTTGACACTTGACTAGGTAGACCTATTTACTTTCCTGATTATAAGGCTGGTAATGAAACTCCAAAGCTTCCATGATTTTATACACACCTACCAACCTAGTAAGTATCTGACATTCCCCCGCAAACCTTGTCGTAACACAACACGAAGACGAAATGCAATGCATAGCATTGCATTGGATGCACACTTTCTTTGGTTCTGGGTCTCTAGCTGGGTAGATTGACAAGGTGAGGAGTAAGATCAAGGTGCAAAGTGTGTGTGTGTGTGTGTGCGCGTGTGTGTCGTGTTTCGACTTTGGAGTGTTGGAGGTCTCAAACTCGTTGCTAAAAGTAGTCCTTACTACCTTACCTATATTTGTGTTTGTTCTACTCCCCCTTTTAGTTACTCCTCTTAAAACTTTCCCTCCATCCTTTCAACTACCTACTATATTCATTTCCAAAGTCCAAGCTACAACGCAAAACGTTCACAACCAAACAAAATCGAAACACCATACGGATACTCCTTTTCTCTTCCGCCTCATCTTATCTCCTACTATCCGGGGTGACACGGTCTATGTTACGGCCACCTCAAGGACCCTGCCTTTGTCTCTTCCTTCACCTCAGGTCAACCTCTGCCGTGCGACGGTGACTCGCTGAGGTGAGCCCAGGTACCTCAAGCCCGACTCCAAGGGACCAACCACCCCCTGGTCACCTGCTAAACCGCCACACCAGAAACGATCCTAGTTGAGCTCCCTGCTTCTACGTTGTGTACCGGTAGACCTTCTGGACCGTGGCGTGCATATGAGTTTTTGGCTGAGTTATCCTCTTCCGTCTCATCTGATTTGAGTAATTCGACCCCCAGAGGCAAAACGCCAAAAACGCCGGGGTGCCTAAATCGGCCACTTTTGTAGGTAGTGGAGGCTTCAAGGTGCCTGGGTCTGGGTACAGTACTTACACTGCCCTGCCTAGTCCCGTCGGCTTTATAGTGGGCGCCTGCACAAGCTCCATCTAAAATAACCAAACTAACTGTGCGACGTGCGCCAGGGTATTTGACTACCCCCTTGGCCTCCATCTCTTATTCGGTTCAGTCCAACCTCACTCTTCTTTCCACCGAAACAACTGACAAGTCTCTCTCTTCAACTTATCGAGGTCTTTGCTGTCTCAGCACTGCTGCGGACTGTCCATTTTGCCTCTGTTGAAGACTTGACCATGGGCCGTATGCCGGCCTACATCTTTGTCGTCAGGTACGTTTTCAGCTACCTTTCCAGACCCCTGTCGTCATGATGCATCGTCGCAACCAGATCGCGTAGCCCTAGCGCTGCGTATGCGTATGCGTACAGCATGACAGTATAGGCATGATGTTGATTACAGAACTCAACTAACCTCTATTCTAGGCACGGCAACCGCCTTGACGCTGCTGACAAGAAATGGCATCTTTCATCACCTACACCCTATGATCCCCCTCTGACCTACGGCGGCTGGCTTCAAGCCAGAGCTGTTGGCAACCAAATATCCAGTATTCTCGAACAAGCGAAGAACGAGTACGAGACGACTTCCAAAGGCACAAAAAAGCGACGTAGATTCAAGGTCGTCATTCATAGCTCGCCATTCTTACGATGCGCCCAGACATCCATCGGAATCAGCTCTGGTCTTGCACAGACTCCCCATGAATCGCCTTACCGTCCGAACGACATATTCGTTTCCGCAACGGGACCACCAAAGCACTTTCGATCTACAATATTACGTTTGGATTCCTTTCTCGGAGAATGGCTGTCCCCCGAGTACTTCGAACAGATTACCCCACCACCTGGTGCAGCCCTCATGCTTGGAAGTGCGAAGGCCGAACTCCTACGACGCGAGGACTACAGTGCACTGACATCTGCACCCGCTCCAACTCCGATGCCTCATAGAGGCTCTAATGCTTCTCTCTGGAACGGATCTCCTGCCGCCAGTCCGTCTCTTGGACCCTTGAGACCAGGGTCTGCAGTGGAAGGCTCAACAGGGTCGGCTATGGCTGCGGCTCTAACTGGGCAGCTGGCAACTCAGATGGAAAAGAAAGGTTACACAGTCCCAAAGCCGAACTATGCTATCTCGAGTTCCGGAAAGATCCCCGACGGATTCGTGGCCCACGCGCGTGACGAGTGCGTTGTGGTGGATTACCAATGGGATTCCATGAGAGCTCCACTAGATTTTGGAGATGGCGGCCAGCTTGGAGAAGAGTGGACAGACATGCACAAGAGATTTCGACGCGGTCTGAAGAAGATGATCGACTGGTACGCTACGACTGATGCGCCTGATGAGATGGTAACGCAGGCTGCCGGAGCTTCACCGAATGACACACATGACCCCTCGATTTCTGAAGACGAGGATGTAGAGACCGTTGTTATTCTTGTATCTCACGGAGCTGGATGTAATGCTCTAATCGGCGCTATTACTCATCAGCCTGTTCTTATGGATGTTGGAATTGCCTCCATCACTATGGCAGTTCGGAAACAAGATGCCGACTACGACACTCTCCTGGCTGCATCAGCAAATGAAGCCCCAAACTCTGAACCCCATGTCTCCCCCCATCAGATGTACGATATTCGCATGTCTGCAAGCACAGAACATTTGCGCTCAACAACCTCGACTCCCGTATCATCCCGATCAACTTCAGCTGATGGTTTCCCTGCTGCTATCCGCGGCCGCAACCCCAGCATCAGCAGTACTGATGGACCTGGCCCACTCATTGGTTCTTTCGTCTATTCCGACCCTATCATTCCCATGGGCAGTCGTAGTGCTTCGGCCAGTGCAACTGTGGGATCGTCTTTACGTCGAACTTCTGGGTCACAGCGGCCACTGAATCGAGGACCAGCTCTTACCACGGCAACAGGCGAATCAGGCTCAAGGAGCAACTCCCCGAGCGCCAATGCATCGTTCGGCCTGTGGACACCTGGGCCTTCGTCACTTAGACTGATGGATGATGGTAGTGATGATGCCTCCGACAAGGAGGACTTCGATTCCGTGCTGCCTAACTTTAGCCGTTTTAAAGGTATTCCGGAAGACAACAAGGGAGAAGCCCAAGCTTCTGCTGCCATGTCTACTTCGAACTCATCTACGCAATCATCTTTTTCTTCACGCTTTGAGCTCAACTCTACAAACTCATTATCTATGAGCTTGCCGCCCGCGGCCATCACCTCACTCAGCTCGTTCTCGTTCCCACCAAGTGGGGAGACTACTCCAAAGGCCACGCCCCGAGGTCCTATTCTCTCGGCCCCTATCAGAATCAAGACAGATATCTTACACGATTTTGACAAGCCCGCTGAAGAGCTTCAAATTGGACAACTTGGAGATGGTCTGGGCGGACTTTGGGGTCTTCCTCGACCTCCTGGCGAGGCCGAGCGTTTCCGCGATATGAGTCTTTCAAAACGACGTTGGACGACTACCGAGCGCGCCTAGAGCTCGACTCTCTTTGATACCCCACAATACTTGCCCTTTGACAGGATGATGACTCAAATATCCTTTTCTCTCGAGGACTAGGGCAGAACATTATTAATGTCTTCGCCTTATACTATTTCAGCGCGCGTTGCTTCCTGCTAGTCGTTTACTCTTACTCACTCAACGACAGGCAGGTCTGTCTTTTTACTCATGGCATCGGCGAACTGGCGGGATACCATCCACTCATGAAATGGAGCACAGCAATGATATGCCGGACCTATTGGCATTGGGATTGATACCTAGGGAAGGGATGAATTTACAGGGACAACAACATGTTTCATTGAGTTGCTAAGAGCATATTGCTTTGCACTTTGGGATCCGGCGCATGGTTTTTACGGCGAAAACGGCGGCAATGTATTCTGGTACGTGGGAAAGCATATAGCGATACCAGGATTATAGGCACAATCGCCGTCAAGAGCCCAAGATTGCTCAAATGTATTTTGTTTAGAAAGTGAATACCAACTCTCATCTTCACTACCTTATTCGGCCACTGTGCGTGACAAGCTAAAGTAAAACACCTGAGAGATGCGTATAATTATGTTTTGATTCATCTATCCATCACAACAGAAAGTCAATAACACGATCTAGCTGTTCATGATCTATGTGCGTAAAACAAATGATATGGTCAGCGCTCGAATTCTGCTTTAAATGCGCACCCACCGCCGATGGGAAAATACAATTCATGTCATGCCCAGCAACCAACGCCTACCATCCACTGTGACCTTGCCCAATGGTCAACAATCCGTGTCGAACCCCTGAAAAATCCGAAAGCAAGCTTTTGTTATCTATGCCTATATCGCTTTACCGCTTCGATTTCTTGGCAATTGCATCTAGCCGAAGACCTTGTTCATGGCCTGGTGAGCCAGCTCGACACCAAGGAAAGTAGCAGCGTTGGCGGGCACAGCACGAGCAAGGGCAGGACCAAATCCAGGGAAGAATGCCTTGACACCACCCTTTCCGTAGAGTTCACGAACGATGCTGCCAACGGAGACGTTGCCCTCCGAGGTCTGCAGGCGAGACTTGACCGTATCGATGGGGAAGACAGGTATCCACATGGCAACTCCAGCGGCAGCTCCAGCGCATGTGATCGCACTAAGACTGAGTTGACCGCTGGGCTTTCCAGTAAGGGGATCAATCGGTGTCATCTTTCGCTTGATGTACTCGTAGGCGGCGAAGTAGGCAGCTGAACCGGGGCCGTCACGGGCGAGAGTAGCAGCGCTACCGCGGAAGACGCTGCGGATACCGCCCTCCTTGTAGAGCTGGCGGACGACGTCAACGCCTCCGTTGTACTTGGGCTTCTCGCCGGGAGCAAGCTGCTTCTGGCCCTGGACTTGGAGGATGACCTTGATGCGCTCGAAGGGTGCTGTGATAGCGGTCATGGGAATGGCGGAGATGAAGCCGGCGGTTGAGATCTGGGCGATTGTGAGACCCTCGGCGGGGACTTCACTAACACCTCGGACGATTTGCTTGCCGAGGTCGTAACCCCAAAAGGACACAGCAACTAGGTAGCTAGGTCAGTTGACGGCATATGAAGCTGAAAAGGTATCTTAACGTACACATGGGTGTAACACCGACAAGAGGCGCGCTTACGCCAGCGTAAAGACCTCTTCGCAGACCATCACGAGCAATACTCTTGCGTACAACATCGATGGCAGAGGAGTAAACACCTCGCTCAGCGGTTTGAAGGCGGACTTTGACAAGATCGAAAGGATGTCCCACTACGACAGCGCAGAGACCACCAAAACCACCAGCTGCAAAGGCGCGAAGCTGCTGAGCGAGGCCAGATGATGCGCCGGCCTTGGAGTCATCTTTTGGTTCAGGCGCGGGCGCAATGGTCTTCAACTTGTCTACGACACGGGCCTCGATGGCGGAGTCTGGGGTATCGGCGGAGGACATTGTGAAGAGTTTGGATGGGGAGGATGGCCGGGAAGGAGGAGGCGCTGAGAGGTGAGGTAAAGGAAGGGTTTATGTTTGGTTTTGACAGAATGAACCTCGGAATGAGGAATGTGGAGGACGGGAGTGGGATAAGAAGAGTGTGGGGTGGTCTCGGCCGAGGGGAGGGTGTAGCTTGTAACCAAGAGCTTATGATGTAAGTCGAGTAAATGGAAGGTCAAGCTGATACGGATACAGCAGAGAGCTATTGGGATATAAAGCAAAAAAGAAAAAGTGCAATAAACAAAGGGAGAGGGAAATAGTGAGAGTATATTAACCAAGATCTGATCGGGCACGTCACAGGCGTATTTTCTAAGCTTCTATTCGATCGGTACGAGCTTGACCTGAGGTTCTGTAATAGAGCTTCACGTCCAGGCGCATCCCTTGCTGAATTATCTATACAGCAACTAAATAATAATAATTATCAATCTGTTTTTTTCCCACTGGGTAGTACTACAGCTAGTAAATCTAATTCTCCAATTCCCCTCGGTCTTCCGGGGCAATGATCTCTCACTCACCCCCGATCCCCGAGCCCCGGTCCCGGCTCTGTTCGTTTTTTTGTTGCCTCGGCTTCGGCTCGCGGGGTGCATCATGAGTCTCACTGTCTTCCCCACTTGGAAAAGGACCGAGTTTCGTGGGGTACTAGAGGCCGGCATATCATTGCTGTGGAAGCTGATGTCACTTGCAATGCAATGCAGTGCAGTGCGCTGACTGCAGAGCATGCGGTTACACTGCTACAGCAGCCCGGCCAGACGGAATTGAGTCGGGATTAAAAGCTCTGCATCTAGGGCTCAAATGAGGTCAAGTGAGGTCATACACCAGATCTTCAGGTCAGATTAGGCTCTTTCAGTTGGAGAAGAGCCCCACAGTCCCCATCTCCTGCATCTGACTATCACATGCAAACCGCAATCCTGTCTCAGATATCCATTCCTTCACTGGTATTATAGACTGATCACGAGCTATAGATACTTAACAAGCAAGATTTGTAAATAGGTAGTGTTTGAAGCCTGCTCTATTGCTGGATATACACCTGTCTTACCCCTCTACTCTAAAGTTTCTGTCTCCATGATGAGAATCCAAGTAGTACATATTATAATGATACATGTGATCCTCCACGTGCCCCATGAATGACCTTGTTGGCCAATTCCAGGCATACATAGCCTGAACTGCCTGAGAACACCAAGACAAACCCGACTGGCAACGGTATTGGCCCATTTACCAGTCTCTGCTCTTTGGCGGCTTACCGTTATTCCAACGTAATATCCTTCAGCAAATAAATCGACAAACATCTGTCCTTCCTTGATCCAAGCAAGTTGTACACTTCGTCTCGCGACAGTGCTTCTCCCCTTCATTGTACATTCCCACCTCTTTCATACTATTCATCCCAACTTGAAACTCGACTTCTAGAATGCCTTCGCTGATGCCAATGTGGGCGTTGCTGGTGGTGCTGGGATTCCTCGTCTGCTGCACCAACAGCTGTTGTCTCCTTCTCGTTCAACTTGCACCACAACGTCTGCCCCTTCTCTCAAAAGATATTCGCGAACTCGATCTCGGACGTCTTCCAACGGAGCTCCTCTTGCTGCCACTACGTGAACAACGCCTAACAACTTGCCACCACTAGGGCTAGCGCTGTGGTCATCCCTCCAGAACTTTGGTGACGAATAGCCTACTACTCCTCTTTGGTTCAGTATACCGCCTAAGCTGTTTCGAAGGTTGTACTCTGTATCCTCTGGAATGCTTAGTAGCAGCCGTTTTGCTGACGAGTATACTAGCGGCTTGGATGAAAGAAAGATTAGAACAGCAATAAAGCATGAGGCCAATGGATCCCATCCGGCCCAGCCCCAAAAGCTCGTCAATATTGTCGATACGATGACCGACACGCTACCCAAGGTATCGGCAAGGATATGCAAGTAAATGCCGTGCATATTCTCGTTGTCGTGGCCGTGGCTGTGGCTGTGGTCATGGCCATGGTTATGACCATTATCATGGCTGTGAGAATGCCCGTGATCGTGTCCATGGTCGTGTCCGTGGTGATGGTGACCGAATGCCATCATTCCAACCAGGTTTACAAGAAGACCCAAAGTGCTCACAATAAAGAGCTCGCCTAATCGCTTTGTTTGAGTTCCCTCCCAGAGCCGTTCAAAAGCCTCAAAGGCAATTTCGACACTGAGTAACCTACACCCAATAAGTTAATAGCGGGCCTGCAGGTGTGCCGAAAGTTACTTACATCAACAAAATACCGTTAGCGAACCCACTCAATGTCTCAATCTTACCGAAGCCATAAGGAAATCTCTGGCTTCGCGGCCATTTGCTCAATACAGCAGCCAACAAGCCGACCATGAGCGCCACGCAATCAAAGAACATATGGATACTGTCGCTCAGTAAACCAAGCGAGTCTGTGACGTAGCCATAAAACGCCTGTACAGCCATGAACGAAAAGTTGAGTCTAGACGGAGATCTGAATTAACCAAACATTGCAGGTAAATTATGTGGTTTCGCTTACGCCATAAAGTAAAAAATACGCCTGGAATCCTTCTCAATCAAGATAGCATTCAGAATTGGAAATCTTGTTGTGTACGGCAGAATCATCCGGGTGAATAATGATCTTTTGCCCTTGTCATCATCATGCGGATGGCCATGATCATGTCCATAATGATTGCTATGGTCATGACTATGTGAGTGGTCGTGAGAGTGATCGTGGGAATGATCGTGATGGTCGTGGTCATGATGGTCGTGAGTTAATTCCGGAGGAGAATAAGTCATGTTGGCCGATTCGGGACCCGGTGTAAGTATGCTCTTGCCCCCCGGAGTTCTCTCTTCTGTCCAGCCCTCCAAGGTGTTTAATGGGGCTGGAGGGAGTTTCTCGCGGGCAATGGTTGCGCTTGTGTTGGACATGCGGGAGCGTCTGTGTCCATGCTTGTGGATGCTCGGATTGTGGGAGTGTGCAGAATGATTTCCATTTCCGTCCGCATGGTCATGGCTAGCATCGTGGTTATGGTCTTCGTCGGGTACTGATGGAAGGCTCCCGTTGGAGAAAGTCGATTGTCGCCTGAGGTTGTTCAACGACGATTGAGAATGACTTCGTGTATGTGAATGCATATGGTTCTGATGCGCATGGGGCAGAGTGGAGGTCGGAAGGGCGTATGAGGACGCCATGTTAATTTATAGGATTCGGGATGGTTGCTCAAGTCAACAGTTCGGTCCTGGACCAAGTCACGGAGACGACGCTCAATGAGGGCGGTGATCGGATATCGGCGCAAGTATTGGCGATTTGAAAGAGAGTCCTTACACCTCCCGTAGGGCCAATCGCAACGTCATCAGTCGAGCATAAAATTGAATTTGTGAAACGGGCGCGTCGCAAGCAGCTGTACGGTATCGGATACAGAGAGGCAAGGGATACAGAGATCGTGGGACGTCTAGAATCCTTTTCAGAGTAGACGCGGGAGGCGTGAAGAGCCGTGGTGGTTGTGGCGGACTAGAGATAGGAGACTCCAGCACGTGGAGCTAAAAGTGACAACCCGAATGAGCAGCGATCGACGGGTAGCCAAGAGGATCAAGACCCAAGATGGAAACAGCTGAGAGAAGGAAAGTTATTGATGACTCGATCGGTGGATTAGAGTTGAGCTATTTGATCCTGGTGAAGTTGTGATCTTGAGTCGGTGAAAGAGTTGCAAAGGTTGTTATGTTCGCCAAGTCTTGATACCATTTTGAAGTCACTTGACTGTTGATCTGGGTTTGCTCCTTCCTGATCCTCCTCTGATACATCATGGATTGGCCCTCATGGCCCTGTCGTTTGGCCGGGGATTGTTAGGGGAGGGCCATTTTTGACTGGCTGAGTGCTGGAAAGTTTGGTGTTCCCCCCTGCATGCGGTTACTTTTCCGCTAAGAGTTAGTGCATTTGATGCTCTAGCTCGCTTTTTAGGCCTAATGCTATCACACCCCGCAGCAGAGTTGCATCTCAACCCCTGAACTTCATCTTGAGATAATCTCCCGTTGCCCGTCTGTATATGCTTTCTAGGCTTTCTAGGGGAGGAAAGAAAACACAGGATCTTGATCCTAAACAACAAAAAGACTTAGGTAATATAGCCTAAGCTTAGGATAACTTTTACTGAGTTTATTTTGACATCTTATATTAAAGTTCGCTGTGTTCTTGTCCCCTGAGGGCTTTGCATTATATGTGCACCCAGCCAGGAAGTGGAAGCACAAATAGGCTGGACAATTCTGGCGTAGGTAGGTAGTTAACAAAAACTACAGCTAGGTGTTTTGTGGCATTTCCATCAATTACCTAGCACTCAAGTACACAGCAAGCAAAATTGATCAAGTCCCAGAGGGATTGGAAGTTTGCTTGCATCCCCTAGATTGCTTTGCTTGGTAGAGAGACATAAGCTGTGGATGACAATCATCACCGTAATTAAGACGAGGGTTTTGCTTGTTAGGCAGCATGTTCCCTCCACTACAGCATAAGAAATCTATATTTATTATTTAGGATTACAGATAGATCAGAGCAGTTGGTGATGCGTCTTGAAGAAAGTTTGAGAGTGGAATAATTCACAGAGCCTTCATTGTTTGAAAGTAGGACACCTTTTTGCCCTATCAACTCTCCCTTACCTTGTGCGGCAATATAATATTCATTGGTCTCTATGTTTGATCGTCTTCTAGGATCAGCTTCAATCGAGATCGCTTTGTTTTTCTATCTTGCCTTGTCTTTCTTGCAGTACCGTCGGTACCTGTGCATCCCGGCCTGTGGAACCTCGAATCTACCTATTTGACCAGTGATTGCAAGGTGGCCTTGGTCTTGGCCAACACAACTCCAACAACGCCCATAACTGGTTGCTGCGGGCACCACCAAAAGGATTCATATCAGTCTCGACGCCATGTTATGATTGCCGATTAATACCTTTATTGATATGTCAGCCGCATTTATTGTCTCCGTCATTGCTGGCGCTCTCAGCTGTGTCCTCCTG